TATATATATATATATATCCCAGGATGTTTTTGCTGCAGCTTCCGATTGGGCAGCATTTTATGCTTGAAGACATTTGTGCAGTTTAATATGAACAAAGATAGATGAAGATAGTTGCAGATAAATAAACATTTACCAATAGCCCTTTTCACGGAAACGGTTGCTACAGCGGGGAACATTGTGCCATTTTTCCAAACACTTTGCACAGTGACCTTGTCAATTTTAGAAATATCAAAACCACCAGCGATGAGAAGGGTCTCCTTCGTGGTATAGGTCTTCTTAAAGCCTTCACCATAGATAGTAATGTGGTACTCGTCTTTGAATTGTTCGACAGGAGTTCCTTTGGTCCAGGTCAACTTGATGGTGTTGCGGTTCAAAGTCTTGGCAGTCAAATCTTTTACAGTTGTGAGCTCTGTAGAAAAAATTGGAAAGAGTATTGAGTGAAAAACGGTTGTTTATGCGGATCGCTAACTGCCATTAACTTGAGAGTGAAACCGAGTCAGTAAAGATAAAACAGGGTATGAATGTTAACAGTGATTTACCGGTCTTTGACACCCTTACTGTAAGTGATGTTGAAGCGCGGAATGGCTTGCCCTGCTTGTCAGTGGCGTGCACATTGAATGTGTAAGACGCAGATGGATTTATGTTGGATAGTATGAACTCTGGCTTCGTCACCGTAAAGTCTTTCTTATATGTTGCATTTTGGACGATAACTAAATACTTGTCTCCGCATTGAGTCGTATCCTTTGGAGGCTTCCAGGCCAGACGAATGGTCGTGGGATTCACCATAGAGGCAGTCTTAGCTGATGGCACCGGCTCTTCTGTCGACAAAAGGCAAATAAATCACGTGAGTCCGGTAACATAGCAGTAGCTGAGTGAACGCAACTCCCTTATTATCGTGTCAGCTCAATGCCAACTCCTATGGACAAACTTAAAATGGGTACTTATTGCTGTCGTACACCTTTTATTGGCATTTTACCAAACATTGTCTATTTGTAGTTGAGATAAACGCATATCTGCGCAAGTTGGCCTCAACAGTTAAATGAAATGTATGCGACCGTTTAAGAGACGTTTATGTCTGCGCAGTTGATTGTTACGTTATTAAGAATAGAGAAACTGTAGGAAAATTTAACGGCCTATGAACCTAAAGACGACTGCAAACGACCGTGGCGGGCTCCCTTGTTTCTGTCGCGTTATCGGCAAGAGCGTATGTTTGTCGCATCTTCGGCTCTTCGGGGTGAGGTAGTGACGCTGCGGTTGCTTGCTCATTTCACACCATTGGACGCTGCGGTAAATAAAGCCTCTTGCTTGTGCGCGTTATATTATGAATGGGCGTTAATCTAGACCAAGCATTTTGTTTTGCGTTCATGAAATCGAGGTAATTGTACGTACTGTAGAAAGGCTTGTTGGGGAAAAGTATAGCGACGTCAATTAAGAAAATTTGATCTCGTGGTTTAGTTGCCTTTTGTACCACAATGACGAAAAATATAATTACGGAGCCCTAATTGTCCGGTTCCTTTGTCAAGTATTTAAGGAACTCCGTCGTAATATTTTCAATACATAGGAAAAAATGAACGAATATAAAAACTTGAAATCTAACGGGCAGAAATAAAGATATTTTCTCTAACTCTACTGTGAATTTGCTATTAGACCACATTGCCTAGGACGAAAGCCCTATACCGAGAACTGCTCCGGTATACACAGGGATGTAAGTTCTTTAATGTTCAGCAGAGGATTTATCTCTTACTTTTATGGAAGTCAAAAAGCATGTCAAAATTTCCCATTTGGTCTTGACTTATGCTTCATAAATGTTTAAGTAAACATCTACTCGACGCCGTAATATCTAACTAAAGCACCTCTTCCACAGGTCACTTCTCTTAGGAAGTTTCTGTATTAATCTAATCCGTATTCGCTTTCGATTCTCATTTTGAACATTTATTTTTCTGGGTTTTGCGTTTACATTTTTGTGTGATTCCAGATTTCCCAATACGCACAAGATGGTATGAATTAGATAAGAAATACAAGCGTAATCTAGCGTTTTAGTAAAGAGGCAACCACTCCGCCTGTGGTATCCCATCTACTTTTATTCCTGCATAAGGTTATTTTGCTTTTTTAAATAGAAATCGGCAGAAAAAAGGGAACAATATTTCCTTGCATCAGAACATGGAATTTGTACTCAATACGCACATAGCAAAAAACTCTAGATAAGTCGACCACATCTATGGCTGCAAAACTTAATGCTATTTTAAATATTAATGGAAACTATACAAAGTATAAAAATTTTGCATTTGTACTTATTCTGTACTAATTTTTCATTGTTTGCGCTCCCGTGGCACAAAAAGCTTTGAATTCAACAGTAGAGCAACGACATGTCATGGAGCCATTACCTTTATTTCGTTATGTTTTTGAAAATTGCATATGTTCATATTAGTGAATCGTGATTTGTCAACCAACCTATGCCTAATTTACTTATGTACTTTATTTACTACAGTGAAGCCGCATGCGCTGGCTTCGCGCGATGGAAAGGTTATTGTCGATACGACGACAGATAAACAAAATTACAGTTTATTCAAAACAAATAAAAATTTAGGATAATCACCTGCATATTTAGCGTTATCGATGAATAACACCGATGTCAGGCTTGCCGAAGCACTTGGCATCAGGTTTACAGTGTGCATTTTTCCACCGATAAACTTGATCAGTATTTTTCGTCGTTGCCTTCCCATGATTCCAGTCAAAAATATTTGGTCCTCCCTTTCCAATCCTGCAATTGCGCCAGCAAAAAGGTTAATACGGTATGTCAATCACATATAACACAAGGTAATTTACAGCATTAAACATACAGTAGGTGACATATCTGATGAAAGGTTTAGGAGCGGGGGATTTAAC